CTTTACGAAAGTATATTGGTTTTTGTCTTGAAACAGGGTCTACGATGACTCGGAGGATACATTTTTCCACACAAGACATCATGGAGATGTCTGTAAATAACGGAACATCGATAGTACCAAGTTTGAAAGAGCACTTGGAGCCAAAGGATGACATCAGTGGTGTTTGCACTGACCAGTCTGCCTATGATAATGATGTTAGTGTTTTGGAAGAAGAATTATACTCAAAGATCTCAGCATGGTTATTATAGGGCAATGGCTGAAGCCTGACTACGCTCTTCCTTGATGATTTTGTTAGCAGTTTTAGTCTCAAACATGAAAAGCTGACAGTGACATTAGAGTTAAGTTAAAGCAACTAACTACCACAAAATTTCTTTAGGCTAGTCACGTTGCTTGTAACATTTTAAGTGCGCAGTGGCTTTTATAGCCAGACAGATTTTATAACTGTAATCCAAGAACTATGATCGACCACCATACTTCGAATAGAAAAGTTATTTTTAATTTGTTTACAGCTTAGTCAGCATTGCTTATAAACGTATTTTTGTATTAGAAAATATACCCACCCCCCTATCCGGGCACTTCTGGAAATCGAGCGGACGATGAAACTGTCTAGAGACCGGAGAAGCGTGAAATATCGTACTCCCAACATTGTTGGCCCTAGAAAGTTGCTGGGAAAGAGAGGAATAGTGGGCGCGCCCCCGAGATACTGTGTAGGATTCTTCACTCTGATCGGGTTAGGCCAGTTCTCTATAAGATTGATCAGGTATATTAACCAAAAATTGAAGTGTCGGTGATTTTAGTCAAGATTTTTACATCAGTAAATTAGTGCATTTCTAGATCTTCATTTTTCCTTTGAGCGAACAGGAAAGCAGATATCTAGCGCAAGAGACTTTTGAAAAACTATTTTAATTGTTTCCTTTTTTTATTTTTGCTCGGCAATTACATACCTTGATTTGCTTTATACGATAACTAAGATGCAAAAAGAACTGGAAATTCTTCACGTTTTAGTGAAATATTAAGGTTTTCTGCAATGCTTCGGTTATGCACAATAAATTAATAAGTTGATTTGCAGACAGTTGAGGTTTCACAATAACAAATTAAGGTTGATATATTTCGTTGTGCACCAACAACTGCCTATAATATTTGACCATATGTACCTAATTTAAAGTGCAAGCAGAAAATGCAAATAAAGTATTATGATAATGGCGAATCAAACTCTTTGTTCTGTTTCTGTTGGTTTGTTTTCTCAATAAAACCGTTATTACTTTCATTTGCTCACTTTGGTGAGAGCATTTGCCTCCAGCTAATGTGACGTGGGTTCAAATCCCAGAGTCCCGATACTACATACGGGTTGAGTTTGGTTCTCTCTCTTGCTCCCAGAGGTTTTTCTCCAGGTACTCCGGTTTTACCCTCTCCTCAAAATCAAATTTACTTTCAAATTCAATTGCGATCTGGAACACAAGGACTCATTTGAACGGGCTACTAAGAATTAAGTCCCAAGTGCTTCGTAGGGAATTAAATTAAGCTTTTTTGGAGAAATCTCTACTCAAAACCACGATAAGATTAACTCAATAATATTGCTACTTCTAGTATTTATATACTGGATTCTGAGTGATTAATCCTGTAGAAAGTGGCCTTGACCTTTTCAGTGCCATAGTGAGAGATATGTTCAAGACAGATTACAACTATGGAATTTACAAAAAATACAATGTGTTGCAACAGTCTGGCATAAATTACAATAATATGAGAACACATAACATAATTTTACAAGGCCATGAACAAAAATAAAAACCATTGACGACAATATCCTGCCGTCTTGACTGAACAAGCTCGGTCAATAACGGATTCATTAATTATATGACCAAAAATAAATGTTTTCTTGCAGGACCCAGCAGGCAAGATGAGCTCATCGTACCAGAGCAGCCAATAAAAACAAAGAGTTCGCTTTATCTTGCCAGCTTGCAGATACATCCATATAACAAAAATAGATATTGCATTTTGCTGTCCAGAATGTATGTTCCATTGACAATTTTTTTCAAGTCATCGAGGGATATACCACTTTAGTAAAATTTAACTAGTGGTCTATTGTCAATGCTGCGTTCTGATTGGTTGAAGTACTACTAGGCTATATGTAATAGCCCACTAGTAGCGAAAAGCACCGGCGTTTTGGTGGCAAAAAAGGATTAAGTCTAGCTTTAAAGAGCTAAAGTTTCTTTGTCTCGATATTTATTACCAACTAGTTGGATTTTACTAAAACAATTATTCCTCTCGCCCTCATGGCCTCTGAGTCAATAGCCCATTCGGCCTTCAGCCTCAGGGGCTATTGACTCACAGCCCATTTGGGCTCGATGTTTAATTGTTAATTATTAAATGGCTTAGTGTTCTCTAAATTCTCTATAAAAATGTAACTTACATATCTTGTGCCTGGTGTCTCCCCTCTTTTTTCTCCAAATTGTGGGTAGTCTGGTTAGTCTCAATGTACGCTAGTGCCAACTTTTATTAAGATATAAACAGTGAAGTAAATAGCTATATTCAATAAGATTTTACCAGATACTTTGAGTAAATTTTTTTTATGAAAACAAAGAATTGCATGAATATAAGACCAGGGGAATAAGAAAAATATGCATGAATTAACACATTCACTACAAGAAAAGGATGTCATCCAGAAATAAGCCAAAACATTGCAAATTTTCAAGATAGAAATATAAATATACTACCTACACACTTTTGACTAGTCAAAAGCATAATTAGCAATTACCTAAATGAAAAGTCATACTAACAAAGGTTAATACCGTAGAATTATCAAAATGGATGTGGATCCTTGTGTAACGCACTGGCTTGATGTACTGCAGTTTTTATGCTCATGATGCATTAGTAGTGACCTTGCATCTCGTAAGACTGCCATCTTGCTGGGGTTTTGACTCCAGCAAGATGGCATTAACTAGGGGACAAAAATCACAGGACACCCAACCAGTATATTATTACGCTTGTAAAGCCAAAAAGAGCTCTCCGATCCTTGTCTATTGTCTGTTGTATTTACAGTGAGGTGTAATCCTTATAACCACCTGTATAACAGCTGTTCAAAATGTCTGATTACTAAAATATGCAGCAGGGTGTGTCTTCGTGTTCTTCTGTCATGTTCTTTTGATTTAGGAAGAGGACAACAAGTGCCAAGTGTCACTCGAGCCCCAGTCGAAAGACGGGACAAATTCCAGTAACCTTTGAATGTGTTTTCAAGTCACAATGGGCAGCAATAACATCGCAAATATCTTGCAAAGGCATTACAGTGCTTTCCGCCTATTGCCACACTCTTGTAATGAAAACCTTTTGCTTTACATTTTCATGTTAAAATCAGTAAGGCGTCTTTTGGGAGTCTGGGACAAAGTGTGAAGAACACAAACCCAGTTTACACTCTTTTTATAAGACTGTTATTTTTTCCGGCCCAGTGCTACTCATGCTGCATATTTTTACTTTTCTACCGATTTGAGGCTAAAAATATTCTTGTATTATTCTTAAATTTCTTAAATGTTGTTTCCATTTTAGCATGTATTGGGTCACCGTTCATAGAACTGTTATTAGCATTTAGCATTTGACATATTATTCACTAACTATCCTAACTGGTACACAATTTACGCCTATTAAGACAGTGGGTAGAGAACCGTAGATTTTACTGCCCCCAGAAATGAAATCGTAGTCTTTATCTAACGCTCATCTGCGGGCATGTTAAATGCACTGCATCTCAAAATCCCTCACATCAAACGAAGCATATATTCAATTGAAGCTACTTCCAAGTCTTGTTTACAGTTATTTATAGCAGTGTTCTTATTTTGCTAAAAAAAGCAAAAATGTCGGAGCCATACGAAGAAACATGCTATTTATGGACCCGGTCTGGGATTCGTTTCCGTTTTACATGAGAACGGTACAGTCTCGGACCGAAAATAACTCGTGTCGAGTCAGCGACCGACACTAAGTGAGACCGCTCTGAGTTCGTTTTTAGGCCGGTCCCATGTAAACGCATAAAAAGAAATGTATATATGGAGAGCGATACGAACTCATACCAGTCTAAGTTCGTCCCGGTCTCATGTATTTACCCTACCCTGTTCAGCGGCACATGACCCTTTGCTTCTGGTTGACACATCAAAGGGGCTGTGTCACGGCAGTCCAGTTCATTTTGTTTAATTTTGCCAATTACCCGCCCTCAATCGCTATGGAACTTAAAGTAAGCAAAGAAATTTGAGACCCCAGTATTCACCATTTTCACATAGACCATAATGCACCTTGTTGAATTCGTAATAAATATATTCAAGTTCAACAAACTGAGCAAAAGAGAAAGTTGTCGTCGGTTTTTTACTTTGTCGATGTGAGGGTGAAATTTGGCAATTTCACGTCGTAGAGGTGCAGTGCCAACAAAGAAATGCACCAAAACGTGTGCTGCACTTGGCAAAGTTGCTGTTTTGCTCATCTAAGCCCATTGCGTTTTTGACGTTTTCTCCACCCCAAAGAACACACTGGGGGGTTTCTTAGTTGTGAATATTTGAGTTGTTTAGTGAGAAAATTATGATTGGTATGAAAATGATGTTGTTTGTCGATTAAAGTAATATTTCAACCACTTGAAGGAGTTATGAGTGCCAGTGAAAATGGTACTCATAACCACGGTATTTAGTATGGTTGACTTGTTATTTGACATTACTTCAATAGCTCTTTTTTTTGGATACTTCAGTTAGTCTATTAATAGATCGCAATTGAAAACGGTCACCAATGATGGCAACTATTCTATAGAAATGTAAACATAAAGAGAAAGAGCAATCAAGCCTGTTCTTTGTACTTAGTCAGAAACTCATAAGGTGTATTTAGTCTAATAAGCTCCTGAAGTCAAGGTAGTTAAATCTAACAACAGTTGTACAAGCTGTGGCCGGCAGAAATTAAGATTGGGTTAATTACTAAAACCCTCCCTTCGAATCTATTTGTGTTTTTAATCAAAGATTTATATTTTGTTTTTGGTCGTCATATTGTCTGATTGTCATCTTTGGATATAATGGCTGAATGAACAACGACAAAGACAACTGTCTTCTTTCCTGTAGACTGTTTAAATAGCCGATGGTTTAGGAGTTATTTTGGCCTCAAAAGTCTGCTCGATATCACGCTAGAAAAGCTTAGGGGCAGCTTCTCAGGCTTAAACTATCAAGAGTTACCAAGATTTCTACGATTCGGAGGTAAGACTAGATATCTTTGACTCAAAGGCAAGTTAATGTGCATATATGCATCAGATTAGAGGGAAGCAGAAACGTCATATTTAAGATGCAACGAATGTGAAGCCACTGAGCTCAAACAAGGAAGTGAACTCTATTTTTCGTATTTACGCTTCCAATATGAGCATACCATGGCTAAACAGGAAACAATCGTGCAAATCTTTTTAAGGCTGAACTTGCTTACTAGTTTGCAGTACTGAATGGTTAGGTTTGTTGCGATGAGCGTTTCTAGTTCTTGACCATAGAACTGCGACAGTCTTGTCGTATTGAGTCTATGGTTAAAGGCCAAACTCTATACTAGAAACTAGTAGATCATAGATAACCGGCCTCAAATGATTTGACATAGATTTACGCTACGATCAATTTTCTAAGTTTCTTGGTGAGTTACTATTTCATTTTTAAAAAATCTGAAAAAACTTATTAAAATTTGGGATTTAGGAATGGGTAAGCAATATTGTTAGCAAGGCCGAACAGGCATTCTTAAACAAAGTTTATGTGGTGTGCGCTGGTAACATATATTGTATAGCTCTTTCGCGACGTTGCCAACATGCATAAGTAAATTGCTGCGCGACAACTAGCGACTATTGCATGTTTTGTCCGGAAAAAATTAGCCCATTAACGAAATACCTTTCTGATACTGGTCTTTCCTAAATCAACCCTAGATTAAAAAATTTAGTATCCTCTTTCAGAAAGATATCCTTTTTTGCTTTGGTTAACGTGGCCCGCTGCTGTCGTATTTTAGTAAAATTCAACTAGTGGCCTGTTATCAATGCTGCGTTCTGATTGGTTGAGCTACTACTAGGCTATATGTTATAGCCCACTAGTAGCGAAAAGCGCGGGCTTTTTGGCGGCAAAAAAGGATTTAAATCTTGCTTTAACTAGCTAAATTTTTTTTATTCTCGATATTTTTGACCAACTAATTGGATTTTACTAAAACAATTATTCCTCTCGCCCGCATGGCTTCTGAGTCAATAGCCCATGAGGCCGAAGGCCTCATGGGCTATTGACTCAGAGCCCATTCAGGCTAGAGGAATAATTGTTAAATATTATGACTATGAGCATGGTCATTTTTGCATAACCCCCTCTTTAACTTGAACGTAATTGGAGGTTTCTATTTGAGAAATTGCGGCCACACGTTTCTTTATTACACCGTGTCAGTTCTTTAAATTATTAAAACATCAAAAATTAAGCACCTTGTTAACACACCTAACAGGCCAGTTTCAAGTTATTAAAATGCAATTGTTAAAATTTCAATATTTTTCTAATTATTAAAATCACATTAAGATTCAGGGATGAATCATTAATTTCTTTGCGTTTTTTTCCTCATCAGCCCTGGGGCCCAGTATGAATATTTATAATTCGAAACTAGCT